GTCAGTTTCATCTCACATTTCATCTTTGATTGATTGGCAGTGACTTCCCACAGGCAGTATTGAAAGGGAATTGGGGGTGGAGGGGAGTGTGCATTCTGACTCAATTAGTGTTGTCTGTCAAGAATATGGGAGAATGTTTTGGCAACATTGGGGCCACATATTTGCCATATGAAGAAAGGTCTAATCTACTTATGGTTTAAAATTCTCTTAATTAACAAACTGACTATATCAACACATGTTTGCTTACTACTATCTTCTATACACTCAACATCATGCTTATGTAAACAAAAAAAGCTAGTCTCTGAGGAAGAGTCAAATGGCATTCGTGCATCTGTGCAGTGGGGACGTGGAGAAAGGAGGACCACTGGAATCCAGGGCAGTAGAGTGAAAACTTCCTGGAGGAAGTGAATATTAGGCTGCAGAGGGGCCTGGAAAAAAATGAGGGGGTGGAGAAATATACTGTTTCCTTCACTTTTCAGGTGAAGGGAACAGTATAAAGAAAGAGCACTGATTGGATGTGGAAAGAGTAGAGTGCCTGAAGAATGGCTCCTTTATATCATGAAAAAACAGGATGATGCAGCAATGACATGCGTGAACTCTGGCTTGCACATTTTGTGGTCAGCCCTGATTCTGACACTTATAACTGTGTGACAAAGCCAATTATTCACTTCTCTTTGCTTCAGTTTTTCCACCCATAAGATGGGGGAAATGATACTACTGCCTCAGAAGAATCATGTTATGTACTACTTTTTTAAATCATGGCAAAAAAAATGTAGCTGCCCATACATCAGCAAGATGCCTATCACCTGTATAAAAAGTATGGTCACTGGTACATGCAGCGCCCTGGATTGTAAGAGGGATGTCTGACTGCCCGTTTAGGCCCTATATCCTCTGATGAGACCCTCTATCCTGTCCCCCCCACCCCCACCCCTGCACAAATTTGGTGCACTAGGCCTCTAATATTTTATATTTTATCTTTCCATGGTCTTAAAATTCTGGAAATGTTCATTTAGTAGGTTCTTCCAGAACTTCTTTGGAACTATTCTGAATAGTCGATGCCTTGAAACTAGCTAACCCAAGGTCCTCAGAGTCCAGGATTATTCTCTAACCTCTGTACCTTTGTTATTTCAAATTGCTGTCCTTGAACTTCTAGAGATACCCAACCAAGTTCCCTGGGACTTTAAGGTCAGGTGGTGTGTGTAGAAGGGAAAATAGCCAACTCACATCCTTTAAAGCACATTTCTGGTCCTTCTCTGAATATCAGGCACTCTGCTTGTGTTTCCTCACTTAATCCTTGTAACGATCCTGTGAGTGAAGCACTGTCAGATCTGTTTACACACAGGGAAACGGAGGCTCAGGGGAATTGTGCTAGTTCGGTTGGAGATGCAATTTCACACCAACAGGAGGAATACCCTGCATTGACTGGGGCTTCACACAGAGTGTAGGACTCATAAGGCACCTATCAAAGCAAAACCGAGCTCCAGTGCTATCTCTGAGTCCTGCCAGGCTTCACTGAGAAAGAAACAGCTGCATCATCCCAGCAGGGAGTAAGGGTTCCTGTTCGCATCATTTTGGCCAGATGCAGTGCAGCAGGGAGGGTTGTGTGCACCCCTCCCAGTCACCTGCAGGTCCCGGGGAGACTGGGTCTTGCCTCATCTGATGAGGGGTGTCTTGGTGTGGCAACAGCAGTGACACAGGCAGCAAGATGTCCTGTCGCCTCAGGCTGTCAACCAGAGGCCACGTGGGTCTTCTTTATTTCTGGGGCCTATTGGGTGGAGTCTGGACTTTTCCTGAGAGTTGCCAGGCACTCAGAGACTGGGCTACTGGGCACCAATAATGCCCCATAAAATCCTATAAAAATAAATGTATCTTTAAAAACCAATAATGCATGTACATGTCAAACATGGTATTTGCACTCACGTTCACATCCTGCATTGTAAGCTAGGTGTATCATCCTGCTTTCTATTTAAGGCCCACGGGCTTCTCCTGAATCAGGAGACAGACTGGTGAGCAGAGAAAGCAATTCTTGTGGCTGTTGAGGGATGCAGTTCCCACCAAAAAAGAATTGTTGTAAAGACTCTTAGCAAGAGGGAGATGAAATAATATTCCCAGAGTGAGGATATAAGTCACCACCTGTGTAGGCTTTTCCCCATCTCCTTTGTGACCTTACCACTGATCCTAAGAATGATCTAGAGCAGTGTTTCCCAAAGTGCGGTACACGTATCCCCAGGGGTACGGGAAGAGTTTGGTGGGGGTATGCGTTGCACCGGAGTTTGGTGGGGATATGCACTGCACCGTGCTTAGCTGCACCTAATTCTATGTTCTCATGAGTACGAGGGGTACTCAGTGTTACGAAAATTATAGAAGGGGTACACTAATATGTCAAAAGTTTGGGAAACATTGATCTAGAGGACTCTCTGTTACAGTAAGTGGTTTTGTGGGAAAGGATAGAAGAAATAGGTTGCAGAGACACCAAATTAAGTGTGGGGGCCATTGGGTGTTTCTCACCTGTGTCTTTGGTAGCCACAACAGCTAGCAAGCTGCCCTTTTAGTGCACCATATTGTTACATGCATTCAGTTATTTATGCTGCCTTTACTTTTTTAGTCTGTGTTTACCCCGATAGGATAAACGCATTTAGTTCACCTACGTGGTAGCTGAAGACACTTTATGTTGGAGCATTCTATTTGAGGTAGAAGCAGGGGAAAGAATTAGGCAGGATTGATTGTTGACGGGCCTTTTGCAATTCCCGCTTTTCTGAAACAGAACATCCTTCTTCCTCAGCTACCATTGACCTTTATTTATTGTAGAAGAGAGTAAATCACTGGGCTCGAAATTTATGGTTTACACTAAGGTCTGCTGGTACACAACTGGTCTTTTCACCAAATGTCATCATTCAGCGTGTCAACACGGTGCCCCAGGACAATCACGTATTCTTACTGATGGCCTCTCGCTGCCCCGAACCCTCCCTGGGTTTTGCCGGATAACGCATGGCGGTTTCCCAGGCGCCTCTTACAGAACTACAATACTTCACCAGCTGCGGGGAGCTTCCCACCAGTTCTGCCGAGGGCCAAAGAAACAGATTAGATTACGGGGGTTTCTGTTGTTACTGCTTTTTATCTCTTTTGTACCTAGGAAAGAACTATCCTTTGAGAGTCTGAGTGACCCACAGATTTAGCTTTTTGCATTCTCATGGCTCTGGCATTCTAAGTAACGCTTTGAACCTTCTCCAGAGCTGGTGGAGGAAGAAGAGGGCTAGCAGTTGACAAGGAAAATCTGGTGTTCAGAGCTCTGCTTCCTCCCAGGCTGAGATGGAGAGGGGTGACCGCAGAGCAGGGCCGGGCCCTGAGTGCGGCAGAGGCTGGAGGGACGGGAGGCTGGTCCTGGTGATGAAAGCTAATGAACCTCTCTGCACACCTCACTCCTGGCACTCAGAGTTGATCAGGGCATCCCAGGAAGCCCTGGCTTTGATCTGAAAGAGTGCAGTGCACACCCGTGGAAGAAGTAGTCATGAACTAAATGTCTGTTCTTACCGAGAGATGGAGAGAAGGTAGAATCTGGTTCTAGTATATTCCTCATCTTCAGAAGCATGTCAGGATAGTGAATGTTCTTTCCCAAATGAGAAACCCAAGGATGGGTGAGGAGCAACCTAGGTGTGTGAGATGCAGGCTGGTCTGAGAAGCTGCTGTCAGGAGAGAAAAGACAAGGCTGGGAGAGAAATGAGGACTGAGCTTCTGAGATAAGCCGCCTCCTAGATACAAGTCCCTCCCTGACTTTCTCCTCATTAGTGAAAGGACCGCACACAGGTAGGGGCTCCAGGGCTTATGCAGAAGGTGGGTTCTCTGGGATTTGCGGTTCTCCTGCCACCTTCAGGGGAGGGAGAGTGACATAAAGTTCAAGGCGTGTCTTTCCGATCTCAGGGAGCCCCATCATTTGTCCTAGACAAAGTCTGGATTAGAATCCTCGAGGCCTCCATTTCACATCCTTGAAACAGAGCCAAGACTGAATATTCGAATCACAGCAGTGCCTGCAGTTGTGGCATGTGGAGTAGCCTGCTGTCAGCCTGCTGGTCCAGGGGCAGCAGGGACTCCAGGAGCATTCGTGAGAGCCAGCACTTACTGAGAATGAATAAGCTCCTGTGTTTATCCTGAAGCTATTCTCCACGTTGAACAGGGGTGTGTGGCACTCCGAAGGTCCCGCCTGGCGTTGAGATGGACAGGGGTCTCATACTAGCTTTGGTTTCAGGGCACAAAAACAAGCCCTTACCAAAGTTGAAAAGCAGATAACTTTCTCTTAGCTCACATCTCCCTCTTTCCTCAATGGCCATCTGCTCTCTTGTGAGGAATTACTAACCCCCACCTGGGCATTCACTGAGCATGCCCAGCAGTAGGCTGTGTCTGTGTCTGTGAGTTCTGTTGTTTTCCTAATTTCACTCGTGAGGGAAGATGCTGCTGAGATTTCTGGGGTGAAGTGACCTGCCAGGGGCTACAGAGCCAGGTGGCCCATGGGAAATGGGGCTCCCCCTCAGCTTATCTTTTCCCACTCCTCCTACAGCAGTCCTTCCAAGGTCAAACAAGCTCACACTTACTCCCAGCCGAGATGTGAAGTGACTATTAAGGTTTTTATGTGACGAACAGCTAAAATGGACTCCAAGACTTTGCCTTTGCTTCTTTAGACGGTTATATTTTAAACAAGACTCAAAGACAAAGAAGCCATGGGGATGGGACTGTGGAGTAGGGTTGTCCTTAAAGCAGGGCCACTGAAGATTCCTCAAAACCTCACCTGCTGCGAGGTTTTGAGGAATTAGGACACATTGGATTTAGGACACATTCTCACATTAAGAGAAGTGAGAATATGTCCTACAGTTCATGGAAAATTATGGATGGCTCTATTTTGTCCATATTTGTAATTAATAAGTCACAAAGGTGAACTCGTCACGTTGTTTTTCACCAAAATGTCTTCATGATGTTTTTGTCTTGTTTGTCCTTGCTCATCATTTTAGTGCCAACATACTTTTGGATGATGAGTTTCAACCCAAACTCACTGATTTCGCCATGGCACACTTCCGACCCCACCTGGAGCCTCAGAGCGCCACCATAAGCATGAACAGTGGCGGCAGTAACCATCTGTGGTACATGCCGGAAGAGTACATCAGGCAGGGCAAGCTGTCCACTAAAACAGATGTCTACAGCTTTGGCATCGTAAGTACCAACAATGCTCTCAATTGAATGGGACATTTGAAACCTGTATGATTTTAATTAAGCAATGTCATGCAACAAATGATCTCCTGCTACTCATTGTGTTATACATTAATTTTGGGTAATTGATCAGTAATAAAATATAAATTCATTAATTGGAATGAACTATATTCATTGCTATGGTTACTAGCCGCCACTAAGATGTGGATGTAGTCAATATACGTAACTGACTTTCTGTGTCCTTTGTAGGTGATAATGGAAGTCCTGACTGGTTGTAAAGTGGTGTTGGATGACCCAAAGCACATTCAGCTGGTAAGACTTGTCCTCCTCTTTGCACCGGGGGCATCTTTCTGATAGGGTTCTAATAAGGTTGTCTTCTCCTCCCAGAGGGATCTCCTGATGGAACTGATGGAGAAGAGAGGCCTCGATTCATGTGTCTCATTTCTAGATAAGAAAGTGTTTCCCTGCCCTCGGAATTTTTCTGCCAAGCTCTTCTCTTTGGCGGGCCAGTGTGCTGCAACACGGGCAAAATTAAGACCATCAATGGATGAAGTACGTATGCACACAGTTTTATTAAAAACTGAATCCATAGGACAATGGAAAACTGGATAAATGTGTATCTAAGTAAATACTTTATTGAGACAAATCCAGCCCCCCAAATAGAATTCTAATCTAATAGATAGCTTTTCTAGATCGAAATGTCACATCATCAGGTACTCTAATACAGGTCATTCTTGGGTGGTACCAGGGCACCACAAACATTTTAAGGAAGAGACATAGAAATTTGGAGATAATGTTTTATTCAACCTTCATTAAGAGATCTGCCCATTAAAAATGCAGTGTGTATTCCCCTTATTGGTTTTTTATTCTTCTGTCCATCTATTTAATCATCCACTCATTTATTTGTTTACAATAAACAGATATTTATTTAGTGCCTACTTTACAAGGGCCAGATGTTGTGCTGGGTGTTGGGGATATAGCAGTGATCAAAATACAGTTGCTGCCCTCATGCCCACTACCCACAGGGAGAGTGACCTCAGGAAACACGAAATTCAGGACAGAAAGATAAGGAACCTGGTAGATGGAAGCATGGAGTTAGTATATTCTAGCTGATGGAAGACAAGGAAGCTTCTTGATGGAGGGGCCAGTGGAGGGAGGCCCTGAAGAGCAGGGTGGATTTAGGCAGCCGTAGGATGGATGGACATTCCAGGGAGAGAATACACACCTGCAAAGGCTCAGAGGGCTGGATTCCATGTGGCTGAGGCCACAGGTAGTTCTGCTTCTGTGGGATGGTGGGAAGGAAAAGCTGCAGGGTTGTAATAGGAGATTCCAGGTGATAGAGCAGGGGTGGGGAACCTTTTTTTTTTTTTTTTTTTTTTTTGCCAAGGGCCATTTGGATATTTATAGCATCATTTCGGGCCATCTAAAATTACCAACTTATAAATTAGTTCGCTGCCCTCTAAAATCAATAAAAACATATTTTTAAAAAATGATAAGAGATTGACCCCAGGTCAAAAAATAGTGGTAGCAAATCTAGGCCTAAGGTCAGGTCTCTTGATTTTCAGTTCAATGCAGTTTCTTTTATCCTTTGCTTCAAGTCACTTAATTTACTCATTAAAATAAAGGGTTTAGCTAATCTTTAATACCTCCTCATTCAAAATTCTCTAGTAGAACTGATTCGTGAAAACAAAAACACAGTCCTTCACAGATAGACAGGAAAAGGGTAAAAAGGAGAGGTAGGCAAAGCTTAACTGGATGTTTGCTTGCTTCTTGGTTAATTAGGTCCTGACTACTCTTGAAAGCTCCCAAGCCAGCTTATACTTTGCTGAAGACCCTCCCACCTCACTCCGGTCTTTCAGGTGTCCTTCTCCCCTGTTCTTGGATAACGTGCCCAGTATTCCGGTGGAAGATGATGAAAGACAGAACAGACAGCCTCCGCTTCATGATAAACATTTGGGGAAAGAGAGAATGGCTCAGAAAATCCCTTTTGAGTGCAGCCAGTCTGAGGTTACTTACCTGGGCTTTGACAGGAAGACAGAGAGTAAGAGAAATGAGGACGCTTGCAAACTGCCTAGTTCTCCCCATGAAGAATGTTGGCCTGCACAGCATGCAGCACCAGCCTGGGATTCAAGGGCCTCCGGTGTAGATGCAGACCCTTCTGGGGAAGCTGCAGGCCACTCTCCCAGGAGCAGGCCCGTGGAGACCAGCTGTTCCAGTGTATTTGTCTGGAATGAATGTGAGCAGGACAAAAAGGAATCCATCTTACCAGAAGATAAAGAAGATGACAAGTATTACCCAGGCACCTGAGTACAGGTGCCATCTTGGGAAGACATTGCCTTCATAAGTAATGCCCTGAGGATGATCCATGTGACCTTGGTAATGGGGATCAGCAATCTGGACGATCCCATTCTTCCCTCTCCAACTTGCAAAACTGGGGGCCTTAAAAGTGTATTTTATCGAGTAATCGCCTCAGATCAAACCTAGGCTAAATTAGAGCCATTTGTGATCACTTAAGATCAGGGGCTATGACTTCAGACAAACAAAGCGATCCAAACCCCCCCCCAAACGAGACTGGATTCTAATGTCCTTCACAGCATTGATCTGAGCCCTCAGATCCTCATTCTGCTACGTGTGTTCAGTTGGATTCCATCATTGGGTGTAGCTTGCCTGTGAAGTCGTAGGAAATGTCTAGTTTATAAATATTAATAGTTGCCCTTTAAAGAATTGCCTTTCCATGTCCTTTGATTGACCCGTGGCAGTTCCCTGTTCATCTCTATCAAGCTTGCCTGTCTGAAGATGAGCCAGGCTCACCCTTGGCTATGACATGGTCTCTGCAGAGAGCGGATTCTTGCTCAAGATCTGTAGTCTGTATTTAAACTCTTAGGATAACTTATCACATATAATACAACTGTTGACTGTTATTACTGGTACAAGTTCTTTTTTTTTTTTTTTTTTTTTTTTTTTTTTTTACAAACTTAGGTATCTATTATTATCCTAAGTAGGATGTATGAAATTTGAATCAAGTCATTTCTGTTTCTGAGAAAACAGCTGGTCAGAAGGGCCTAGGCCTGCTTTTTGATTCTGTACCTTCCAGCTCGATGCCTTTGCTCCTGCTGGATCCTATATCTCCCTTTTACAATCTCACCGGTCCTCCAGGCCCAGCAGAACTGCCGTCCTCCCAGAGACTTCCCTAATCTCTCCAGCTAGAAGTACTCACTTTATCAAGCATTATGTTTGTATTTATATTTTATACTCATCACTTCTGAATGATACCAAAGTTGCTTGTGCCATCTTCTCTCTCTCTGATGAGGCTTGTGAACTGCCTGTTAGTTTTCTACTGTTGCTGTAATGAATCATCACAGACTGAGTGAGCTAAAACAAAGAAGGTTAGTTATTTTGCAGTTCTGGAGGTCAAAAGTCCGTGGCATTCCTCCTGGAGGCTTTAGGTGCAGATTCGTTCCCTCACCTAGTCAGGCTCCTGCCTTCCTTAGCTTCTGGCCTCTTCATCCTCAAAGCCAGTAGCGTAGCATCTTTGAATCTAGATCTCTCTCTCTGACTTCTTCTGTACCACCTATTTCTCATACATTGGCCCTCCTGCCTCTCTCTTACAAGGATCCTTATGATTGCATTGGGTCCTCACAGATGATCCAGGAAAATCTCTGCATTTCAAGATCCGTAATTTAATCGCATCTGTGATGTCTCTTTTCTTCTGTAAGTAATAAATTTTATCAGGTAATCGCTGCAGGTTTCTTAGGACATGGACATCATTGGGGACCATTGCCCTGTCACATTTCCTGATTGTGTAGGAGCTGTCTCTTCAAGGCCTAGCATGTTATCCTATATAATGCAAATGTTTTCTTATAAGTCAATTAAATTATCTGAATTAAATTATCTCTGTGAACCCACATACTCAAACATTCAGCTATAGTAAATGCTGTTGAGTAAATTAACAAAGTGGGGATAATGATTGTCTTTGTGATGATGGATAGAAATACTCAAGAAAACCATTTCCAGAGGATTTATAACCACTCCCTCTTTAGGGCATGTAAAATGAAAGGGTAGACCTCAGCTGCAGAGGAATAGGCATCAGAGGAATAGTCACATGGCGCGCTCGCGCATATGTGTGTGTGTGTGTGTGTGTGTGTGTGTGTGTGTGTGGTTGGGTTAGTAGTAGATTAGAGTCCAGATTAAAGAACAACTAATCATAAACAAGAAGTTATCAAAAATTAGTGTCAGGTTAGCAGACCAAGGTCAGAAAAATGGAGCTACAGTTCTGGGGCATAAAGGATTTCATGGCAGAAAATGAGCTTCAAAACATAATAAGCCTTAGTCTGATTGACAGATCCAAAGCAGACCCCAGTAAGCAGTTAGGAGAGGCCATGCTCACAGGCAGGGGCGGGTCTGCCAGCTGGCGGGCTGTCCAGTGCTGTCTTCCACATGTGATCGCAATGTCTGTGTTCACAGTGCTCCCCATGGACCCTCTGCTAAGACTAGTAAGGGAGCAGGCTTGGACTTGACTTCACATGATTTCAGTTCTCGTGACCTGACCTGGCTGGCCACTCTCGATTATTCATGGTAATGAAAGGAAGCAGTAGATGTCTTTGGCATTTGGCATTAACGTAAACCATTCTGAGACTGATTTAGCTTGTTTTATTTGAAAATAGAAAATAGCAAATGTGTTGATTATTTTATCAGTATTAATTTTATCCTTCCAGATTGGCAAATATTGGAGCAATTGACAAGAATATGGGCAAAAGGACATTCTTGTTCACTTTTGGCTGGAGTGACAATTGGTACAACCTTTCTAAGAAGGCAATATGTCAATAAAGAATTGTTTAACAAAAAAAGAAGGCAATATGTATTAAAGTTGGCAGTATGTATTAAAAACTTAAACAACACACTTTTACCCAGCAATTTGTTTAGGAGTTTATTCTAAACATTAGAGGCCTGGTGCATGAAAATTCATGCACTGGGGGGGTTGGGGTGGGGTCCTTCAGCCTGGCTTGTCCCCTCTCACAGTCTGGGAGCCTTCGGGTGATATCCTACTGATGGCTTAGGCCCGCTCATTATAAAAATGAGCCCTGGGGAGCAGGCCTAAGCCGAAGTCTAGCCACCTTCTGTAAGAGGCAACCGGGCCAAACAGGTGAAGGCACCACCCCCATCACCCCACTGCTGCTGCCACTGCTGGCCCCCATGACTGCTGGCCCTCCCTGCCTGCCCTGGCCCTCACTCCTTAGTGCTGGCCCCACCCTGCCCACTGGTGGGTAGGGGGAGACCTGGGGCCAGACCGGCTTGGGAGGGGCTTGGGAGGTTGAGGCATAGCAGATCACACCCAGTCCAGCCTCTGCAGAGGCATGGCATGGGGACCAGGCCCACACTGCTGCATCTGTGGCTGCCTCTGTGGAAAGGGCAGCACTGGGACCAGCACCGCGCAGCCCCCTCTCCCACGCCGCCTCTGCAAAAGGGGCCGCGGAGCTGGACCACCTCGTGCCGCCGCCTCCCCATGCCGCTGGCCCTCGGCCCTCGCAGCTGCTGCAGCTTCGTCCAGAAGGACTTCAGGAAGACATCCGGTCTATCCGGTCTAATTAGCATATTACCCTTTTATTCGTATAGATTCCCTGAGTGTGCCTAGCATGTTAGTGCCTATACAGAGTTAGTGTTTTCTTATAAGTCAAGTTGAATTAAATTATCAAGTGTGTAAATAAGGTGGCAAAGATGTACTTTATGAGATTTATGATATTAAAACATTGGAAACAGCCTAACTGCCCTTCAATAAAAGATGGTTACATAAAGTGTAGCACACATATACAAATGACTTATATGCAACTGTCATTAAAGATTATTTAGATCATTGTTTATAACTCTGGAAATTTGTCACTGAAATAGTATTGAATGAAAACTCAGACTCCAGAATAGCATGTTTTAATATGGCCTCATTTATAATACTGGGTATTTTAAAATAATGTATGTTTTATAGAGAGATCTTTGCCAAAAGGTTAATAATGTTTGTTTGTTTGTTTGTTTTCTGGCCTGTGGTATTTGGATGAGCTTTACTTTCTTTAGACTTTTATATATTTGAAATTTTTATAATGAACATGTATCATTTTTATTTTCTGAAAACAATAAAGCTATTTTTATTTTGGAAAAAAATCCTCAACCTTTCTATATTTGCACCCCTCTTGGCTTAGTTGTACCCTTGGTAACAACTGGCAACGGGCAATGCTGCTGCTGTTCCATTGCCCTTTGTTCTTTCTGTCCTCACAGCTTAGTGACAGGAGCTCCCACATAGATTTGTCTGGATCCTCTGAGTGACAAGTTTTGAGAGGACTTATGAAAAAGCAATCCAAGAGGCAAAACTAGACAAATTGGAATACATGAATGGACAATGGCCCTGGCTGGTGTGGCTCAATTGGTTGGGCATTGTTTCGTACACTGTAAAGTTAATGATTTGATCCTGGTCAGGGCACATACTTGGGTTGTAAGCTCCATCTCCAGTAGGAGCCGTGAGGAGGCAGCCCATAGCTGTTCTGCTCTCACATTGATGTTTCTCTTTCTCTAAAACTCAATAAAAACATCTTAAAAAAAAGAAAAAAAGAATGGACAATAGATTACAGTACACAACTGAGAATACTTTATAATTAAATATCACTCAATTTTGGTAAAATCTTTAAAAATCAATCAGTATTTATACCTACAAATCATTATTTCAATGTGTAACCTATATAGGTAAATTTTAAAATCTTTGGGGAGATAACATTTTCATCATAAAATATGCATTCTTCAGACTTGTGCTCCATTATCCCCTTTTAGCCCACCTAAAAAACTATAACTTGCTGAATTTAGTAGACTTTGGGCTGCGGTTAGCTGAAAATTAAACTTGCAACAGTGCAGAGAAATTGTGACTAAATACAGTGGTTTTCTCTAGCAGGTAGAGATGGAGTCCATATAACAGTGTTAATGGGAGTTGCACTAATGCATTGGTTAAAGGGAAATAGCTACGATATTCCAGGTTAAAAATACCAGTTCTAATGAATCCTCTCTGGGGAGACTGTTTTGTGGACATAACTAAGCTACAGAGGGTGTCAATATGACAACAACAGCAAAATCCCATTTCCTTAGCCAATCTGGCTAAAAGACAAATTAGAGCTGGCTTCTTAAGAGCATAACGCAGACGCACATTTTGTTCTTTTGATACCAAATCAATGTGTTGGTGCTGCTTTTGTGTTTCCTGGAAGGGAAATGCCAGCTGTGCCATCACTGCGAGGATTTCAACAAAGGACAAGTTAAGGAATCTGATGAATGAACGCAGTGTGAAATGGAGTTGTTCTGTCAGCACCGCGGAGTGAGGTGTAAACAACCTCTGCCGGTCTCCTTAACCGGCTTAATCCCATTACTCACTAATGATAATTTCACGGCACTCTGAAAGTGTGTACACGCGAATTATAGTGCGCTTACCCAACCGTTAAACATTGGGCCTGTGATACTGCTTTTTCTTTTATGTTGGTAGCACAGGGTTTTTAAAAAGACCTGCAATAACTTCAACCGAGAGCAAATATTAATCTATGACCTGTTACTGTTTTTATTTTATATACCCTAGAGACAAATGTAGGATTCCAGTATGCTCGAAAAGCCAAATATGCATGGCTGTGTTAACTCGCTGCCGACAGCTCTGAGCCTGAGACAGGAGGCAGAGCAACCTCTGACATTCTCATTACGCATTT